CGCGGGCAGCTGCTTCACAAGGGCCCCCATCTTTTTTTGATGGAGAGGACATTGAAGCCATAATAGCCAAAGCCGTACATGAGCGGTTAGGTCAGCCAATGGCATGGAAACCTCGTCGGTCGTAATTTTATTCAGTAAACCTGACAAGGTTTTAAATGATTTCAGCCGACTTTCGGATATTGTGGCATGGACCCACTACGTTGGCGGACCTGGTCGACCATGTCGATCGGCGTCGGCCTCGGGTAACCTTGCCTATGTACTTATTTGTTCATGAACTATATTCTAATTTGTGCTTGAACTATTGGCGTTCCTTTGGGCCATGACCATGACTACCAATGGTCATGTTACATCGGAGCACCAATACAGGTGGCAAACACCTAAACTAACCTAAAACTCACTGATGATGCATTCACCAGTTATATTCATGCTTTCCATTGTGCTTTCGGGGCTGCACATCTACAGTAACCTCATCCAGACAACTGTCCCGCAGCTGCTGAGCCTTGGCGCTACACGTCTCCGGGCTGCCAAATGGCCATAGGTAGAGAGCAGGTCGTCAGGACAAGCAGTGCCTCCCTGCGCTCATATTGCGGGCTATGCGAAGCTTGAGCCGGGTTAGCTAAGGCGTAGGGCCTTACGGCCGTTTTAAGTGGTACGACTTGAGGCCGGCGATCCGTGTCCTCAGGATCGTCTTTTGCATAAATAGCGCGTGTTGCAGGTTTTCTGTATCTTGTTTTTGTTGTTCAGCACGCGCTGAACAACGAGGCAGGTCCCGCGCCTTCGGCGCGCTTTCTGTTTTTTCCGCTGTGCTTTCAGCTCTTCAGCAAGACCCATCGGGTAGAGTGCCCTGATTGAAGGAGCACCATTATCGCTCCGTCGTCATCGTCTTGAAGATCATGGCAACCGTAGCAGTATCCGTCCAAGCCGTTTTAGCGGTTTTTGTCGTTTTCTGCGGCGTTGCTGGCGCCATGATGCCGGGCCAATATGGTTCCCAGCCCCCTTCCCCATATATGCAAGGTCTGCTGGGTGGCGGCGCTACGCCGCTAGGAGGCGGAATGGCGCCCAGCGCGGTACCGAGAGCGGCAACTATGTCTGGTGCGGCGGTTGCTGGGCCGGACATCGCTGCAATGTTACTCCAGATGCAACAAGACCTGGCCGGGGTCCGCGCGCGCCTAAATAGTCAAGGTGCGACCTCGGGTCCGGAATACGATTTGCGCGCGCTGACGGAGGATTTTGCGTCGCCTCAAGTGCAGCGCTCTCCAGCCGGGTCGCGGTTTCCGTTTCCCGACTATGTTCTGCACAATTTGCCGGGAACCATGACGGTGGATAATCTGGTTTTGCATAATTTTCGGGCAATTCCTGAGTGGCAGGAGTTAGAGCACTCGCAGAGGGGTCATCCTGATCGTGCGGGCTCGTTAGTTTATGAGTTTAGCATTCTGATTACTTTGCTTGGCGTCTTGGAGATGGTGCGGTCCGGTTTGACTATGATTCG